CACACTTGATGACACCGAACTTCGTCAGTCTGGATGCTGAAATGACAGCTCGTAACATCGTTATTTCTTACAAGCCCTAACATGTATAAACGTGACCTTTCCGTCCAACCTTGTCTTTCAACATGTCGGGGGCGATCCATGCGCAGTGTCTATTTGTGGAATTCTGGAACATTCTCAGATGGGAGACGGTAAAGAGGATCGTAATTCGCCGCACCGCCACGCGCGGCGATGGGCGCGGCGTTTTCATAACTCGTTTTAACCTGTCGAATGGAGCACCGGACTTCATGTAGACCCCGTCATCGTAGACACTCATTACTGTTTTCGGTCCTTAATTGCATGTTGTCGCCATCTACTGCCTGAAACCATCGTCCTTTGCGGGCGGGACGTCGCACGCGACGCCCAGCAGCGCGGCAAATTACGATCCTCTTGTCACATACCCCATTCTCAGATACTGCGATGATTGGAATACGGGTATGTGACAAGAGGATCGTAATTCGCCGCGCTGTGGGCGTCGCGTGCGACGTCGCGCCCGCAAATGACGATGGTTACAGGTAGTAGATGGCGGCAAGAGGCAATTCAGAACCGAAAATGGTCATGATTGTTTACAATGACGGGATCTACATGAAGTTCGGTACTCCAGTCGACAGGTTAACACGAATTAAGAAAACGCCGCGAACATGACCGCGCGCGGCGGAGCGGCGAATTACGGTCCTCTTTGCCGTCTCCCTTGGGAAAGTAAACATGTAAAGTGTACATCATCGTTGTGGGGTACTGGAAGAGAGGTGGCGCATTGAAAAACTTCTCGATGGCGATTTCTATCCGTTTTAAACGCGGCACAGTGTGGTTCGCAGCGGATGAAGGGGTGTGTCCGGCGGAATGAGTCCGGCTGGGATGGTTACGTGATAACTAAAACTTTTGGTGGGGGTCCTGCCACGATAGGCCAGAGCGCAGAGCAAGGGGACTGCCACTGCCAAGGCATCGTGAGGTACAAAAAACACGATGCGAGCCAGGAGATGAGTTTTTTCGAGGGGAAGGGATATCGGGGTGGATGAGCCACTTAGTATGCGTGAAAAGTTGGAATGTGAAAGGTCAAAGTGGCCATAAATCGCCATCCAGGCAAGAGAGCGCAGAGAAAAGAAGAAAGTTGGCGCCATTAAAGGGATTGAGTTTTAGCTGTCCGTAGACCGGCTGGGAGACGAACAACAGAATCGCACTTGCGCGCGGCACACCGTTTGACGATGAGCGCGGGAAATTTCCGATGCGGGCGCCAAGCGTCTACGGACAACTTGAACTCAATCCCTTTGAATGCGTGGATCTTCTCTTTCTCTTCCTCGTCCGCATGGCACTCTATGGCCGTTGTGACTTCGCTCACTCCAGCTTTTCACCGACTATAAGTAGCTCACCCACCCCGGAGTCCTTCCCCTTGAAAAAGCCCGTTACCTGGCTCGCCATACGTTTTTTGTACGTTCCGATGCTTTGGCAGCTGCTGCCCTCTATCTGTCTGCGTGACAGGGTTTCGTAATAGGACCATGGACAAAAGTTCTAGAGCGCCACGCAGCGACGGGTGCGAGAAATTTAAAAAGTGCGTCAGTTCCTCGACTGGAACCGAACCTTAAAAAGGAAGCAGCAAACTCGTGAGAATCGCTGCATGTCTTTCTATTTTTCCTTAATTCCGCATATTTCACGTGTTTTTGGCCATTTCCTACAGCGCTGGCGCCGAAGCGTTGGCACAACAACCCCTAGGGACGTCACCTTAGCGAAATCTGAGGTTCTGACTCAACTTCGAAAAAATGGGGTATGGATAGTCATGGCTGACTGATAGCTAACAGCGATACTATGACTAGCATACTGGTGATGACTGGTCTTCGAACTGAAATAACTCTTCAGTCATGTCTTTTTGCAAACAACAGTACCTGGCTTACTTATTTGTGCCGTCTGCATCATTTTCTTGACTATCGGGAGGAAATCCCATTCCGAGACCAGTCATCGATGGTGAGCTCCAATCTGCTGCTAATTACCCATGGAATAGCCCACATTTTCCAAGTGAGGTCGAAATATCAGATTCGGCTAGAAACCCAGGGGTAATTTAACCCGCTGAACATGAATATGATGGTATTTCATTGCAAAAACCCTTGTGACACGTGTTACGAGGGGTACAAGCAGAAGCACTCTTTCAGGCCACAATGGGTCTACACTTTCAAAAAAAACTGATCGCAGGTTCCCTTATAGGGTAGTGCAGGCGAGCAGAGATGTTAGAAGCTTTGTCGGCTATGTTCTTGGACAAATGCAAAAAAGATCTGCCCCGGAACCGATCCTACGACGTCTCGCCTAAGAAACCCGCTCCCTACCCGTTGCGCTCTGCTACCACGTTTCAGAACGACTCCATACATAAATGTAAAGACGCTTCCACGTTTCCTCGCGATAGCATGTGAAACGACCATGCGGGGATAAAACCCTCCATAACTCCGTTCAGAGAATCGTTCTGCAAATTTTGAAGAACTTTCTTGGTAGGTATAAGAATTCGTCTCTCGCGTGCGGCGTCGCTCGCCACGCCTGCCAGCGCGGCAAATTGCGATTCTTTTGTCATATACGTCTTCGCACGGCACCAAACCCGTTCTCTACCATCTGAGGAAGCGGGCAGGCGATGACAGTCGGTGTTAAACGACTGTACCAAGAATATGATGCAGTCTCATCGCTTCCTCGCTTCAACGATTGAGGGGAAACGGCTTTGGCGCCGTGCCAAACCCATCTCGTCCGACACGCCCTTCATCCACAGCAAACAAAACTGCCCCTTGGGCATTGCTGGCGATTGACAACTTCAGTGAACTGAAGAAAAAAAAACGGCATCCGCGCAAAACTTTGTACATGTGCTCAAGGGGAGAATCGGCTAACTGCGCGGATGAAAGCCGGAGAATTTGGCGCATTTATGAAGAGTGTCAGATTCGTATAGGTTGGGAAAATTGGCGATTGCCCTTGTATTTCGACAATTTTCATGTTTTGTCAACTTTCTCCATCGACAAAAATCTCACAAAGTGGGCCGAATTACCCGAGTTGCCGCAATCGCAGTCTGAACAGTGCCTTGATCAGTTGAGCTGCAATTCTAAAAGCTTGGAAAAGTAAATGGGAAATGGAAAGGAAGAGCTTATGTTAGGAGCACAAGGAAGGTTTTGGCGTTCACGTGTTACAGAGGACCGCTCTGAAGCGCTTCTATGTCCCTTCTTCTAACCAAGGCTCAGCTCAGAGCACAGACGATAAAAGTCACCGAAAGATAGTCTCCCGAAGAAGACAGCTCCGGCTTAGGGCGCAGACTGTCAGGTTCACCGCGGGTGTCCGAACAACTTAGACTCAATCTTTTTGAATGCGTCGACTTTCTGTTTTTTTTTCTGCGCTCTCTCTTCTTCATGGCGTTCAACGACCACTGTGACCCCATTCGAGCTCTTCACGAATTCACGACTGAAAAGTGGCTCCCACCTGAAGTCCGTTTTCCTTGAGAAATTTTCGCAACAAGTCCATGCACAAAAGTTCAAGATGTCACGTAAACGGGTCCAGGCGCGAAAAGCCAGAGCACAGAGAGATAGAGTACTGCGGCTGCCAAAGCGTTGAAGGTGCAAGTAACAAGTCGCTAGCCAGGGAATCAATTTCATCAACGGAAGAGGAACGCTCAAAGCCTAAGCATTGGCTACGGTAGACGGCCCGTGGAGGGCCCCTCCCAAGCGTACGAAAGTGCAAATAAAGGAATTTACAGAACGAAAGAAGCCAGTAGTTGTTTAACATGGAGAGGACACCTTAAACAAACCAGGGCATCATTGGTTGGGGATTTTGGTCGAGTCTGTACGACCACCCCCCCTACTCTTTTTTTAGGGGTTCGTACGACTTCCCTGGTTCCCTCCTCATCGAGCTGTCAAGCGTGGAGGTGGGGGGAGGGGGTGGGGAGGAGTGATGGGGATATATAGTACATATGAAACAGGAAGAACCACGAAAAGTTAGCAACCTCTCTCAGAAGGTCAAATCTGAAATACGACCCCACCCCTCCTTTTGGGGAATCCTCAACAACGATGTGCCCAGAGAAAAACCCCGCCATTATATACTGTGGATGATGGCGCTCACTCACAAACCTATAGTCGCTAAATAACACTACAAGGAAGGAAAACGCGGAAAAAAACGTGGGGAACGCCCGAAGTGAAGCGGAAAACGTAGTGTAAGAACTGAACTTACGCAGGAAATAGCTTTTGAGTTTCGGTGGGCGGGACAACTAGAGAGGCGTCAGAACTGCACTTTCGAGGGTCAGACTACTTGTACAAGGAAGACGCTTACAAGTTGCTCGAGCACAAGGACTGTCTTTAATGAGCTGCCGTGGAATGAGACGTGGTCCCGCAACGACTACCGTAAAGTGAGGAAATACGAAAACGAAGCGCTGAAGATATAATCACGACCATGAAATCTCTACTCACAGTTAGTTGCCAGCTGATCCACCATTGTAGACAGCCATTGGTCCAAGCCAACAATACGGTGCGTCCTAATGGAGTAATTCCTCAGCCCAGCAATTTGACGTTTGTCGATTCTACGGAATTTCATCTCCGGAGTCGTAATGTTTGTTGATGTTGATGTAGAACTGGACCAAATGAATTCTTCTTCGGTTACAGTGATCTATTTTACGTGAAACTACACAAAAACGCCCATGATGGCCGTACTTGTCGACCGCAGGACCTTCCACCTCCTTCCTTTTTTCTTCTTCCTTTCTTTTCCTTCGTTCCTTCTCCTTTCCCTCTTCATTTTCGTTCTTCCTTCAACTGCAGGGCCAGTAGATGCGTTGAGAAAATACCTCTGGACCCTCACAGCTAGATCATGTTCAGTTGATCCAGCTACACTTGCTGCAAACCACACTTGTGATCCTCTGTGCTCGTGTTGTTTTCTGTGCTTGATCATTTACTTGAAAAGGGCTATAGCATCCTCTTAAAAACAATTGAAATTCGAGTTCAGGACCATCTACTGGGAACGTCATGGCAAAATCGCAGCAACAATTGGGTGGTGATGCATCGAAAAAGTGTAAAGTGCTCGAACAGTTACGGTCGCAACTTGATATGCTACTGCAAAAGTGTAAAGAGGTAGTGGAAGAGGTAAAATTCTCAATTTCAACGTTTTTCCTTTTTTAATTAGTTTCGTTTCTCCGTATTCCTGTGTTGTGCAACAATGTCGTTTGCGAAATCGTTGAGGCGCACACATCGGCAGGAGTTGCGCACATGGAAAATTCCAATACTATTCGACTGTTAAAAACATGAAGTCTTCGCCGTTGATCAGTCTCTATGAGATGCGGCACGCATCCTACTTCCATTCAGAATCGTAGTGGATCACTGAATGCGATGTGGCCTACATAATGAGTTGCGGGGGCCCGCCATATCCTCCCAAATCTAATACGAATTTACCGTCCCCGGTGGTAGAAGGTTTAGTTGGCCTGGGCGGGAGTCGACACGGGAATTGAACTCAGGACCGCACGAGTGATAAACGCGCAACTTGTCACTATACCACCTCCGCATATTCATTCAATTATTACTACCCCAAAAACTCACGTTTTTTTTCGCAGAAATCTTGCCCATGAAGGTAATGCGATGCCCTGATCCGGTTATAGCCCTAGTTTCAGGCACTGGGTCGCTTGTCGCTGCGATCTTCTCACC